GGCACAGTGGATGGCACTCTTTCCTGAGCCCACAAAGCACTTTGTATTTCAATATGTAACCTAATAAAACTGAGTTCCTACTACATGCCATTCACTGTTTCAGGTGTTGGGGATGTTATAATGAACAAAGCAAGACAAAGTCCCTACCCTCATTCTAATAGGGAGAGAGAGAAGGGGTAAAATACACACAAACCTATACATATAAAGTGAATAATAAATACTTTAAAGAAAAAGAATGCAAGATAGATAGATGGGAGTAGGGGGCTGCTATTTTTAGATGTAGTAGTCAGGGTATGCCAGTGCCTCTTTGATGAGGTAACTTTTGAGGAGGACCTGAAAGAAGTGAGGAAGCAAATGAGGGATATTTGGAGGAAGAGTGTTGTAGGCAGAAAGCACAACAACTACAAAAGCCTGAGACAGGAGTATGCGTGGCTTAATTAAGGAATAGCAAGATGGCTGGTGTGGCTGAAATAGAGTGAGTTGATCTATGTTTTAAAAGGCTGCTCTGGCTGCTATGTAGATGAATGAGTAAGTACACAACTGAGTGTGGGTCTGAGAAATTAGTTTTTGCTGAGTAGAGCTCAGTAGCCCCTGAGGGCATGGACTTGTGACCTTGACTTCCAGTGGGTCTCCTGACTTGGAATTTGACTCTAAGGTGGTCTCCTCTCTTCTAGGTTTGGCAACCTGGGTGTCATGGATTACTACCTGATGGATGCTGCCTCCTTGCTGCCTGTCCTGGCCCTCGGCCTGCAGCCTGGTGACACCGTGCTTGACCTGTGTGCCGCACCTGGGGGAAAGACACTAGCATTGCTTCAGACCGGCTGTTGCCGTAAGTCAGAGGGCTGGTGTCTTGGCAGGGAGGGCTCCTGACCTCACCCAGTCAAGGGCACACTAAATATGATGGGCTTTCTGGTCTGGGTCACAGGTAGAATAGTGCTTGCTTGCTAAGCTGGTGTGTTTTTTCTGTTTGCAATGATTTTCTCTCTTTCTCTGTTACTTGGCCAGGGAAGACTGCTGATCAGAGCAAAGTCTCTGAAGGCAGATTAAAACAGAGCCCTGATTAATCTACCACATGACACTTTTATCCCTCTTCATCTGTTTACTTTGTGTCTAAGATTAAGTTCCATTTCCTTAGCCTGCCAGCTAAAGTGATAAGATCTGGCTACAGCAGCCTGTTATAGCTTTATTTTCATTTTTTAATAAATTTATTTACTTTTGGCTGCGTTGGGTCTTTGTTGCTGCATGCGGGCTTTCTCTAGTTGCGGTGAGTGGCTCACTGCAGTGGCTTCTCTTGTTGTGGAGCACAGGCTCTAGGCGCGCGGGCTTCAGTAGTTGTGGCTTGCAGGCTCTAGAGCGCAGGCTCAGTAGTTGTGATGCACAGGCTTAGTTGCTCCAGGCATGTGGGATCTTCCTGGACCAGGGCTCGAACCCATGGCCCCTGCATTGGCAGGTGGATTCTTAACCACTGCACCACCAGGGAAGTCCCCCGTTATAGCTTTACTGTGTCATTCTGCCCAGGCTTTATGCGCTTCTGCCAAAACCTGCTACTCTCTGTTGCCTGAATAAGCCTCCAACTTTGCCATGTTATGGATTCTCTCTGGAATACCCCCACCTTATCACAGCTGGCCTGTCAATGCCCTTTAAGCTTTCCATCCTCAGCTCAAGTGTTCCACCTCATGGAAGTCTTCCCTCATGATCCCTGCTGGCCAGTTGAGAAGTGCTGCCTCTGTCTCCTGTGCTCCCACACCATGGGCATCACCTTTGCAACTGTTAGCACATTAGCCTTGCATCAGAGCTTTACTGGGTATGCATCTTCTTCCTCCTCAAGATTATAAATTCCTTGAGGACAGGCCCAAGTCTTACTCAATAGTATAGCCCAGGCTGGGCCTTGTACATTGTAAGTATTCACTTCAGCCATTCATTGGCTGACATCCTGCCTTAAATAGGCAGTATTTTTATCTTGAGAAATATCCACAAGGGGGCTGTATTTTTCACACTGATCCTGGAGCTCAGCCAGGCTTAACTTGCCATATGCCCTAGCCTTTTTGTTGGGCCTGGATCCTTCTTTTCTAGTTCTCATTAGCCAACTTGCACAGTTTGAGTCAGCTTCCAGCCTCAAGGTAGGTCCTACAGGTGATTCAGAGAGGTACCACATTTGATCACCAGCTTCTGGAAGTCCAGAGAGAGTGGAGAAGAAATGTTGATATGGTTTAATGGGTCCAATTCAAGGGAGCCCAGCCTGTGTACTGGGCTGTGTTAATCTGACTGAGTGCTGTGAGAATCCATCAGAAGGGGGAATGGATAAGGTAGGGTTACTTGGATGAGGAGGGACTGGAACTCAGAAGAGGAAGAAGGGCCAAGGAGAAGTAACTGAGAGTTGCTTTACTAAGGTATGCTGAATTACCAACACCTCACCCTTCTCCCAGCTCCTCACTCAAATGACTCTGTGATCCCAAGAAGATAGGAATTACAGGGTAAGAAGGGACCAGCCCTCATATTTTATGGAGGGGGAAATTGAGCTCTAGAGAGATTAAATAACTTGAATCTTTTTTTTTTTTTTTCGGTACGTGGGCCTCTCACTGCTGTGGCCTCTCCCGTTGAGGAGCACAGGCTCCGGACACGCAGGCTCGGCGGTCACGGCTCACGGGCCCAGCCGCTCGCGGCATGTGGGATCTTCCTGAACCGGGGCACGAACCTGCGTCCCCTGCATTGGCAGGTGGACTCTCAACCACTGTGCCACCAGGGAAGCCCAATAACTTGAATCTCTTACATGAGTTGGAGGTAGAGCCAGAACTGGAACCCAGCTTTTCTTTTCTCAGTTGATATCCTGCTGCAAATTCCTCTTGAGCAGAGAATCCAATTTTGACGTCTTTGAGTGCCCTAAAAAATGGGGACATATTTCTTTGTGGGAAAACTAAGCTGGTTCACCATTGGATAAGATGTATTCTCTAGTTCTTCACCACAGTGCCACAGTGCCCACTGCTCCCTTTCACTCCTTGACTCTGAGGCCAGGTATCAATTGCCATTTATCATTAATCTTGCAGTAATATTATTTCTTATAGTAGAGCCAAGAGCAAAGTGAGATATCGCTTGAGCTCGTGTCTATCACAAAAGGGAAAATGAAAGAAAGATGATGAATCATTTAGGATTAGGTTTGGTCATATACAATAGAAAACTCAACTAACCAGCTTAAAGAAGAAATGTTTATTTCTCTCTTACATAAGAGAGCTGGGATATAGGCAGTCCAGGGCTGGTATGGAGACTCCACAATTATTAGGGGACTTGGGCTTCTTCTTTCTTTTTGCAACCTATTTTATTGCTGGCTTCCATCCCCAGGATTGCCTCATGGTCCTCATGACTGCTGGAACTCCAGTCATCACATTCAAATTCCAGGCAGGAAGAAAAGACTGAACAAAAGGGGCACATCTCCTGATTGTATCAGTGCCTTTTAAACATTTTCCCAGAAGTCCCACACAATAATTCTGCCTACAACTCATTGACCAAAACTTAGTCATATAGTCTTACTTGGTTGTCAAAAGAGGCTGGGAAATGTAGTGTTTTGGGGAATATTGCTTCCCCCTCCCTCAAGTAAAATTGGAGTTCTATTACTAAGGAATAAGAGGAGAATTAATTTTGGGTAAATAATGTGTAGTATCTACCGAAGACGAAGAGAGACACATATTTCAAGAAAAGTGGGAGAGAACGTATTTCGTTAGAAATAAATGTTTTAAGCTGGTCTGCTTTATTTATTTACATAACCTTTCTGGCCTATGTCGGTGTTTGCCTTTGCAGCCCCCACTCGGGAGTGTCTAGTACTGTGCTATGCATGTAATAAACATTTCTCCTCCACCTGCCCCTGCCCCTGGGGTCTGCATTGATTGGCTATGCCTGAGAATTGGTCTAACTCTTCATTAGCACCATTGCTGGTGGGATGTTTTCTTTTGCTGTGGCCTCTGAAGTTGCTTTATTCCTGCCGTCATAAGATATTCATACTACCCAAAACATCTATAGATTCAGTGCAGTCCCTGTCAAGATTCCAATGGCATTTTTTACAGAAGTAGAAAAAACAATCCTAAAATTTATGCTCCCACAGGCAATCTCGCTGCCAATGATCTCTCCACTTCACGAGCAGGCAGACTACAGAAGGTCCTTCACAGCTATGTGCCTCAAGATGTCAGGGATAGGAATCGAGTTCGAGTCACATCATGGGATGGAAGGAAGTGGGGAGAACTGGAGGGGGACATCTATGACCGGGTGAGTGATTCCTGACCTGGGACATCCAGCTAGCTAAATCTGGCATCCCCATCCTGGCTCTAGGCCCTGAGGGGGTAAGATCTAGCCATATATATTTGAGGATGTACGGCTGACTGTGGACCTGGCCAGCTCTTCATGAGTGATTTGTAGCCATCTGTAGAATTGTTAGCTCAGTTTAGATAACTGGCTACTCCCTTCATTAGAGGCAATTAGCAAAAAGAGTTTGAACCTGTCTGACTAGAAAAAAATTATTAGGCTTATTTTATTTTGCAACTCACTTGGTTGCACAGTAACCCTCATTAAATTAATATGAATAAGTTCATTTTATTTATTTTTGAATATTAATACAGTACATGGTACAGAATGCAGAAGGCACAGCATGGTATCCAGGGAAAAGTATGTTTCCCTCTTACTCCTGTCTCACAGCCATCTACTTCCTCTCCCTCCAGATGACTATTGTCTATATTTTCTACTGTATCCTCTTAAAATATTTTCTTTGTGTATATACAAATATAAATGTGTATTTTAAATCTACAAACAATAAATACTGGAGAGGGTGTGGAGAAAAGGGAACCCTCCCACACTGTTGGTGGGACTGTAAATTGGTACAGCCACTATGGAGAACAATATGGAGGTTCCTTAAAAAACTAAAAGTAGAACTACCATACTACCCAGCAGTCCCACTGCTGGGCATATACCCTGAGAAAACCATAATTCATAAAGAGTCATGTACCACAATGTTCATTGCAGCACTATTTACAATAGCCAGGACATGGAAGCAACCTAAGTGTCCATCGACAGATGAATGGATAAAGAAGATGTGGCACATATATACGATGGAATATTAGTCATAAAAAGAAATGAAATTGAGTTATTTGTAGTGAGGTGGATGGACCTAGAGTCTGTCATACAGCATGAAGTAAGTCAGAAAGAGAAAAATAAATACCTTTTGCTAGAGAAAAACAAATACTGTATGCTAACTCATATACATGAAATCTGAAAATAAAAAAATGGTTCTGACGAACCTAGGGGCAAGACAGGAATAAAGACGCAGACATAGAGAATGGACTTGAGGACACGGGGAGGGGCAAGGGTAGGCTGGGACGAGGTGAGAGAGTAGCATTGGCATATATACACCACCAAATGTAAAATAGATAGCTAGTGGGAAGCAGTTGCATCGCACAGGGAGATCAGCTCTGTGCTTTGTGACCACATGGAGGGGTAGGAGGGAGACACAAGAGGGAGGGGATATGGGGATATATGTATACATATAGCTGATTCACTTTGTTATACAGCAGAAACTAACACAACACTGTAAAGCATTTATACTCCAATAAAGATGTTTTAAAAAAAAAAGGAATGGTAGTATATTTTGTTTACTATTCTGAACTTTGTATTTATTTAAATTTAATAATGTGCCTTGAAGTTCAAGCTTTTGTTTTTGTTTTTGGAGTATAATTGCTGGATAACAGTTTATATGTACTTAGGATATTGACAGAGGTTACTAAATCACTCCCTATGGAGGCCAAATCAGTTTCATTTCTACTGGTAATGAATAAGAGTACTGTTTCCTCATATCCTGCCACCATTGATGTTGTCCAACTTTTTGTTTTTTGCCAAACTGAAGCATCTGATTTGCATTTTGTTATGAATGAAGTTGAAAGTCATTTCATATATTTTTTTTAATTTTAAAAATTTATTTTATTTTATTTATTTTTGGCTGCATTGGGTCTTTGTTGCTGTGTGCAGGTTTTTTCTCTAGTTGCGGCGAGTGGGGGCTACTCTTGGTTGCGGTGCGCAGACCTCTCATTGCGGTGGCTTCTCTTATTGCGGAGCACGGGCTATAGGCACATGGGCTTCAGTAGTTGTGGCTCGTGAGCTGTAGAGCGCAGGCTCAGTAGTTGTAGCACACAGGCTTAGTTGCCCTGCGGCATGTGGGATCTTCCCAGATCAGGGCTCGAACCCACGTCCCCTGCATTGGCAGGTGGATTCTTAACCACTGCGCCACCACGGAAGCCCCTCATTTCATATTTTTAAGTTGTTTGTATTTTCTTTTAATTGGCACATTCTAAAAACATTTACTTAAAACATATACTTCTAAAAATGTAAAAAATATTGTCTCTATTGTTGTCATATTGTTGTCATATTGCTATTGTCTCTGTGTTGTCATCTGACACATTTGTCTAATATGTCCAGTTCTTACCATCTTGCCTCAGCCACGCTAAGAAATTGAAAGACCAAGGCTTATAGAATCTTGGATATCTTGAGAGACCTGCTTCCCACCTGTGTAGGAATCCCCTATTCAGCTCTTTTGGTATGGGGGCAGCAGATTGGAGAGAGCATGACCTCTGCTGTCGGCCTAACTTGTTTCTGTATCACAAGGTTGCCACTTATCTCCTTTGGGAAAGCTGCTTGATCTCGCTGAACTTCAGCCTCTTCATTTGTAAAATAGGAAATACTGCTATATAAGATTATTATGAGGATTCATAATGAGCATATCCAGGGAAAGTGCTTAGTACATCAACTGGCCTTGAAGATTAGGCAGGTAGTAGCTATCATCGTTATTCAGCTTGTGCTTTCACACTTTCATTGAGAGGGGCTCACTGAGGTTTGGTGGTTGAGCACCTCTGCTGTTAGAAAATTCTTCCTCTTATTGAATTAAGATGTGTAGATTTTATGGTATATGGTTGAGTACAGGGATTCTAGAGTCATACTGCTTGGATCGGAGTCCTGGCTCTATCACTTATCGGCCAGAGAACTTTGGGCAAGTTAACCACTGTGCCACCAGGGAAGTCCCAGGAAGGTTTATATTTTAATTCTACATTAGAAAATTTCAATATGAAAACTCTTTGGGGGTTTAATTCTACTGGTGGTTGTTTCTGCTAACGCTTGCTCAAGGAGGCTTGTTTCCCTTTAAATATTCCCCGCCCCGCACCCCGTATGCGGGCCTCTCACTGTTGTGGCCTCTCCCATTGCGGAGCACAGGCTCCAGACACGCAGGCTCAGCGGCCATGGCTCACAGGCCTAGCCTCTCCGCGGCATGTGGGATCTTCCTGGACCGGGGCACGAACCCGTGTCCCCTGCATCGGCAGGCAGACTCTCAACCACTGCGCCACCAGGGAAGCCCTTCCTTTAAATTTTGTGGTCATTTTTATCACCTTTCATAATTTTCTAATAATTTTTCTGTTGGAGTATAATAGAAGTGATCAAATCATCAATATACTGCTTAAAGAATGATCTTATAGTGAAATATATTATTACTACCCTTTCAAGAAGTATGATACTACCAGCATCCCAGAAACTCTTATGCCCCTTTCTGTCTTCCTAGAGGTGATCACTATTCTGACTTCTAAAACCATGGATGTATTTCATATAAATGTAATCATATAGCATGTACTCTTATCTGACTTTTTTCTCTCATTATGTTTGTGAGATTCATCCATGTTGTTGCCCCTGGCAGTGGTTTATTCATTGTTGTTGCTGTATTATATATTATGGTATATATACAGAATTTATAGTCTATTCTATTCGTAAGAGACATTTGGGTCACTTCCAGTTTGGGGCTATTACAAACAACACTGCTGTGAACATTCCTGTAAATGTGTTTTGTTGCACTATGTACACATTTCTGTTGAATTTCTGAGTCATAGAGTATGTATATGTTCAGTTTTAGTCACTACTGTCAAAGTTTTCCAAGTGATTGTGCGAGTTTTCATTCCTACCTACAGTGCATGAAAATTCCTGGTGTTCCACAACCTTATCAACATATACTATTTTGAGACTTTGCTGGTGGTCCAGTGGTTAAGACTCTGTGCTTCCACTGCAGGGGGCACAGGTTTGATCTCTGGTCGGGGAACTAATATCCTGTGTCCCTCATGCTGTGTGATGCGGCCAAAAAAAAAAATATGTGTGTGTGTGTGTGTGTGTGTGTGTGTGTATACACTATTTTTTCCTCATTTTAGCCATTTTGGTGGGTGTGTAATGGTATTTGCATTGTGATGTTAATTTTTGTTTTACTGATGACTAATGAGTTTGGACACCTTTTCATGTGTTGATTGGCTATTTTTTTTTGAAGTGAGAATTCAAGTCTTTTGCCTGTTTTTCCTATTATCTGTCTCTTTTTAATGTGTCTGTCTATTTTTATTTATTTATTTTTAAATTTTATTTACTTTTTATTTTATTTATTTATTTGGCCGCACCACAGGGCTTGTGGGATCTTAGTTCCCTGACCAGGGTTTGAACCCGTTCCCTCACATTCCCTCAGCAGTGAAAGTGTGGAGTCCTCTGTATTTAAGGATTTACTTCTTATTTATTTATTTATTTTTGGTTGCGTTTGGTCTCAGTTGCAGCATGCGGGATCTTTCATTGTGGCACATGGGCTCTTTGTTGCGGCATGTGGGCTTCTCTCTAGTTGTTGCACGTGGGCTCCAGAGCTCGCGGGCTCAGTAGTTGTGGCGCGGGCTCCAGAGCGTATGGTCCCTATAGTTGTGGCATGCGGGCTCTAGTTGCGGTGCATGGGCTTAGTTGCCCCACGGCATGTGGGATCTTAGTTCCCCGACCAGGGATTGAACCTGTGTTGCCTGCATTGGAAGGTGGATTCTTAGCCACTGGACTACCAGGGAAGTCCCCTTGTTTGTCTCTTTTTAATGTGTGAATGTTCCTTTATGTATTCTGGATATGAGTCCTTTATTGAATATATATGTATTATAAATATATTCTTCCACTCTGTAACTTATCTTTTCGCCCTCTTAGGATGAAACAGAAGTTCTTAATGTAGTCTAATTTATCACAATGTTTAATGCTTTTGGGTCTTATTTTTTTTTATTTATTTTATTGAAGTATAGTTGATTTACAATGTTGTGTTAATTTCTGCTGTACAGCACAGTGATTCAGTTATACAAATATATATATAGTCTTTTTCACATTCTTTTCCATTATAGTTTATCACAGGATATTGAATATAGTTTCCTGGGTTATACAGTAGGACCTTGTTTATACAT